GGGAGTCGGAGGACGCGTCCCCGACGCCCACCAGCGTCAATTACCACTTCACCCGGCAGTGCAACTACAAGTGCGGCTTCTGCTTCCACACGGCCAAGACCTCCTTCGTGCTGCCCCTGGAGGAGGCTAAGCGGGGGCTGGAAATGCTCAAGGAGGCGGGTGAGTCCGCGGTGGGGGCCGCCGGTGGGAGCCGGGGCGGCTGGGTCCCAACAGGACCAAGCGGCGTCGCAGAAGTTCTCCTGCGGTGTGTCCCGCCTCATCTCCCTGCAGTCGGGCGCTGAGAAGCGGGCAATAGGCAGGCAGAGGTGCACGGCATCTTTTTTTGGCCCTTTTGTAGGAATGGAGAAAATAAACTTCTCGGGAGGAGAACCGTTTCTTCAGGACAGAGGCGAATTTGTGGGCAAACTGGTGCAGTTTTGCAAGCAGGAGTTGAAGCTACCAAGCGTCAGCATTGTTAGCAACGGCAGCCTGATTAGAGAACGGTGGTTCAAGAAGTACGGTAAGGGAAAAACGCTGCGCACGGCAGCACCGGCGGGGGTCGGGAGCCTCCTCGGGGCAGCTTCACTGAAAGACAGTTTTTGGTGCAAGTGGGAGAGGGTTTGTTAGTGGCTCATCAACAATAAACACAAGTCAAATGTAAATATCTGTTAAATATTGTTAATTATATATTGTGAGTATAAGCAGTTCGTACTATTGCCTCTTTGGTATAATAGTGTAATGAAATAATAGCTCAGATTGTCTGCCATAATGCTGCACTCGCACACACACACAGAATGTTTTGATCCTACTGCTGTGGCTTTTGTGGTTCATGTCATGACTCTATTTACATGGCACTTCATGACAGTTCACAAGGAAGTGAAAGTGGTCAAAGTCCTCTTAGCTTTTAACTGCGAGACTGAATACTAATAAATTTTTAAAACTTGTTTTCAGGTGAATATTTAGACATTCTGGCAATTTCATGTGATAGCTTTGATGAGGATGTCAACATTTTAATTGGTCGTGGTCAAGGAAAGAAAAACCATGTGGAAAATCTCCATAAACTGAGACAGTGGTGCAGAGAGTATGCTGTTGCATTCAAAATAAATTCAGTGATCAACAGATTTAATGTTGAGGAAGATATGAATGAGCAGATCAAGGCACTCAACCCTGTGCGCTGGAAGGTAAGAGAGTAGCAAATACCATAGATTACCTGTCCAGAGAAAACTAATAATAACAAAGTAAAGTTCTGGAGTTAACTGACCCTCTAGTGACCTCAGTCATATCTCCAGCTCCATCTTGGGCTGGTGTTAGCAGACTTCTTGTCAGTGTTACATGGTGTTGAGACAGCTTTTGCCTCTTTCTACACATAGGGAGCCAAATATGTCAAGAACTTTTTTTTTTTTTTTTTTGTGGAAATTACTATTTCAGCATATGTAGATTTAGGAGTTTTGTTAAATGAAAACTGAGATAGAAGGCCTTTAACATTTGAAAATGTGTCATGGTATAGAGAAAATGAGGAAAATTTAGTGTACAATGGTACATTAAAGTTAATATATCATTAGCAATGTATGTGTACCTTAGACGTTAATATTCAAAGTGGTTAGTGTGCATATAATACGATAGTTTCTATTAGAAGTGTTGTTAAGTACATTATGATTAATTTATGTTAGCACTTTTAAAGTGGCTATAGAGATAATTGTAAATATGGGAGAACCTGTGGTATAATTTATTTGCTTCATGGAAATGGGTATACACACATCAGTTCCTCGGAAAATAGAAAAAAAAAAATACTGTAAGTGAAATCTTGGTCATACTAAAGTGTAAGAAAAAATATGACATACATTTTAATATTTTATCAAGCTTCCTGGCCTACTTTCTTACTGAAGTTACAGAACATGTTGATGGTAAAGACAACTTTAAAAAAAAAAAAAAAAGTGTTCTGAATGCATTTGAGGACCCAGCCTTTAGAAGGAGGCTGTTAAGTAGGCAAACTATTACATTTTGTTTCAGGGAGGTTGTCCCTATCTTTTCCATGGCCATCCAAAGCTAGTTAACTTACAGTCACCAATCAGATTAAAATGTTTAAGAGTAGTAATTGACTTGATAGTCTGCATTGTACATAGTACTTACTGGCATTTATAATACAGCCATACTATTTGAGGTTTAATCAAAAGTTTATTTGAGCTTTGATTATATGTGCCCTTATTAATGCCAGAGTAGTTAAGATTTCTGTGGAAACTTGATCAGGAACCACAACTGCATAATTACTTTAAGAACTATGTAATGTTAATTTGCTAAAAATATATTGTGTAGTATTCACTCATCACAATTTGTGTCAGTGTGCTCCACTGACAGAAAAATTAAAGACATTACTGCTGAGACAAGTGAAGATTTTTGTCATGGTGACAGTCTCATATCCTCAAGGTGAGTGAAAAAATAAAATCTTAACCAGATGCCCTCTGTCTTCAGGTATTCCAGTGCCTGCTCATTGAAGGAGAGAACTGTGGTGAGGATGCCCTGAGAGAAGCAGAGAAATTTGTTATCAGTGATGAAGATTTTGAACAATTCCTGGATCGCCACAAAGATGTCTCCTGTTTGGTACCTGAATCTAATCAGAAGGTAAAATTGAAACTGCCCTTTTGTACCTTTATTTTTCCAGTGAAGTTGGAAAGGAACTAGAAGCTTTCATGGCAGTTAACTCTTTCCATATTAGTATTGACTTAGAAGAGGTACAGTACAACTTTGTCAGCAGGTGGTTTTGTTATGGTGGAAACCAAGGGTTTTAATTTTCTTTAAGGCTTTTTATTGAGCACAAAGTTATTAATAGAAGAGTGAAAACTAATTTCCTGCAGAAAGCAGCGAGAGTCCTCTCACAGTCTTGGGTGCGCCTCTGCTCAGTCAGATGGGTGTGTAAAGTGTCAGCACAGAAACTGGAGAAACAGTTTCCCACAGCTGAATGGTGAACTCTCCAACAATAGTAAAGCCTTTCTAATTTAATAGCTTTTCTCCACCAGGGCACAAGATCCTGAAAAGGTTGAATGTTAACATAAACACACTTAAGCATAATTTCCTAATAGAGATTCACCATGATGTTACACTGTGACAGTGTCATTGACTTATATATCATCCTAGTCAGCATTATATTGGGTTTTGGGGAACAAGAACTAGTATTTTTTCCAGATGCGTCTTACTGTTTATTCTTTCTCCCTATAAAGTCACTTTTTTAACACTGTCTATCTGAACTCCTTTGAACTGCACTTTTGGGCTCCTGGTTCACAAGGAGACTCACAGTGCTACCACAGAGCCCAGCAGTAAACTTGATGAGCTGCCATCCAGCTGACATTAGCTGCAGTAAAGGACCTCAGTGCTTGAGGGTGGAGATCAGGACATTTTGTATAGATGCCTACAGACCATGGCATACATGGTATGAGGAGAGTTAGAAGGCTCACAGGTTAGAAAGTTTATGAACTGAGTAGAACCAAGTTCAGGAATGCCTTAAGTCTCCTATCTCATATTTCTTTTCCTCTCCACAGATTAAGACACTCTATTTACAGTTTACTTAATGTATTGAGAGCTCAAGTGAGCCTTTACTCTGTAAGGCACAGAAGTGGGACTGTGCAGTCTAGCATTAGAGGTATTTGGGGACAGTGCATTCATCAGAGAAGGTGTTTAGATGAGAACCTTGAACTGTTTCTACATTTTTTTCCCATGTATTAAGTCCTACCAAAAAAACAGTAGACTTCCCACAGTAGGTTTGGTTTCAGAAGACTGTTTCTGATTTCTATTAAACCTGTGTGAAAGATGGGCACCAAATTGATCAGATTTCCCATTCTACACAGCAGTAAGCTCCAGCTACCCAGAGAATTTTAGGGAGGATACTGTAGGAGATGCCCAGTTAGCTGAGCAAACATGTCTTATGTCAGCTGTTGGCCTATTTCTTGGTGCACACCTGTGAGCTTTTTGAAGTGGGAGATTCCCTTTGAGCTGGAAGAACACCTTTGTCTGCTGGGGTTACAAATTAAACACCTCAGCCTAAATGTCATGTCATTTGTTTGGAAAATGACATAATCATTCCAGTATGCAAATCGGTGTAAGTTCTGCTGGTGTAGAAGTTAACAGAAAACTTGGATATTATATAAAACACATGTATCCAGTTGGGAACCCACATTTCAATTAGATGCTTGTGAGGTTATATTCCAAGAATTACTGGTTTATTCATGCATTAAGTCACACTAGTAATCCTGTCATTTTTTTCTGTAAGTTTGATCCAAACTCACTGAAGTAGTGGTAAGACACTACCTGTTTCAGAGATTGGAGATGTTTGGTTTGTCCTTGATTTTTTCACTAGAATGGAATTTTGGTTTATATATTAAAGAGTTATTTCTTTTGATCTATTACAGATGAGGGATTCATACCTCATTCTGGATGAATATGTAAGTCTTTGTTTGATACTTGGTATTTATATGCTTATATATGTATGTATACAACAGTGATAACCAATTCAGTTTACTGTGCATTCTATAAAATAATTTTACCGTGTAGTACAAGGAATAGATATAAGTTCTTCCCATCAAACATACTGAGAAGTTGAATAGAAGTATGACCTAAGGAAAAGTTGCCATCTGGTTGCATGAATAATCATTGCATCATGAATCTTGAAGTGTAGTTGTCGATCTTTGCAGGGCATCTTTGCTCCTTTTCTCCAATTCAGAAATACAGAACTTGTCCTAAAAGTTAAGTTTCAAAGAGCTCACTTAGTTTGTGTGTAACTGAAGGGAAAATGTTTTATGATTCTTTGTTAATGATGTCTCTACTCATTGCAGGGTGTTTGGACTAGGGGACCTTTAAAGGTCCCTTCCAGCCCAATCCATTTGATGATTCTGTGATTCTATGATTCTACTCTTCAGAAATTATGATATGGCATTGTTCCTGTTAAGATGTGTCAATGTGTCTGTGAGCTTCTGAGCCTTCTAAGGATTACAGTGAAACTTCATGCCCTTACATAGGCTTTTGTGGGATTGCAGTACAAGTTGTTTAATTCTGTAGAAGAATGAAGCTTTTATAAATTTGACTTTCTAACGTCTCATCTATTGATATTGCAGATGCGTTTTCTGAACTGTAGGAATGGACGGAAAGAGCCTTCCAAGTCTATCCTAGATGTTGGTGTAGAAGCAGCTATAAAATTCAGTGGATTTGATGAGAAGATGTTCCTAAAAAGAGGAGGAAAGTATGTGTGGAGTAAAGCAGACATGAAACTGGACTGGTAACTCCATAGATGGACTTAAAGCAGGTGCAATATGTAAAGAAAATGGATTTGTATAAATGTGTGTGTATAAATGCATCTAGTGCTTTTAACTGCGCTTGATGTGTTATACAGACTGATATTCAGTATAACCCTACATGTGAACGTGTTAAATTGTAATGGTTTGAAACCTGCTGCCCCTGGTGGGTGGAGATCTGAAACCCTAAACCAGGTACAAGCCTGAATGAAAGGGGCGTACACCTGTCCTATGCCCACTCCCCTTTTTCCTGTCTTCTGGACTTCCTGCCAAGGTCTATAAAAGGGGCGAGAAAGGCACGCCTCTTGCTCTTCTCCCTCTTGCTCTTGCTCTTGCTCCTTTGACCTTGTACCTGGGGACACGTTGCTCTGCTGCTCCCTGTGCTACACGTGGCCGTGGCCATCTTGGAGACCTGGGCCTGATCTACAGACTCTTCCCTGCCTCCATCCACGTCCAAGGATTGTGCATCCAGCTTCAATCCACCTCAATCCAGTGAGATCCAGCACCGGGGAGCCTTAGCACAGCATTTGGGTTTTGTATATTTGGAAGTTTAATCTTCCTTGCCTTGTTGTTCCTACAACCCCCCTTCCCTGTTAAACCCCTACCCTTCTTCCTTTCTGTACCCTGTTAAACCCCTTCCCTTCTTCCTTTCTGTTCCCTGTTAAATAATATATTTCATTTTGTTAATTTTCAATTTGGTGCGAGGTTTTCATTACCCCTGCCTTCCTTATTTACCTCTCTATCTGGGAAACTGAGGGATAAGGGAGGTGGGACACAATTCTGCCTTCTAACTGGGACAGAACATAAATGTTTTTAGAATTTATATTCTGTTCTTACCTATTGTTTGGTTGAGCATTACGAAGTACTTTTCAGAGCTTTCACGTAAATAGGTCTCTGAAAGCAACTTTCTAGTCCATTGTATGAAGGACTTAAGGGCAAACTGTTAATAAAACGTCGCACAGGAAATGTTTTTAAGATAATATGTAAGTGCACATGCCAGAAAACAAGCTAAACCCCACTTCAATCTCTAATTCATTATGAACAGCTGCAGTGATGGGTAAGTGCAGACCCTTACCAGGGAACACACTGCCTCGTCCTTGTGGAAAGGTGGATTGCAGTTCCGAGCTAGGTCACAAGAGGGCCAGCTGGCAGGCCTTTGGAACAGCCCCTGCTTTTCTCAGGGGTAACAGAGGGCCAGAACCTAGGAATCATCTGAAATAGTGTATTTAAAAGGAAATGGAAAAAAAAAATGGCAATTCTAATTCTTTGAGACTTAACTGTAAAAGCATCTGTTGTTCTTCTCCTTCTTCTCCATATACGTACATATTTGCAAAAATGTTTGGGGATGTAGTGTTCTGTAAAAACATATTTGTAGTCATGAAGGAATATTATATTATATTTGTCCTAAAACATAGAAGTGCATTTTACCCAATGCTGAGCAGCTTCTTATTTCACATTGGCAGTAGCCTTAGTTCTAGCAAATATTTACAGTGAAAGCAATGTTTGCATTTTATTAATAACTTCCTCCACTTTCCTTTTATCTGCAAATATTATTTTTAAAATGTTTCTCTCCCCACACATACAGCTCTGATGAATTTTCCTTCTGAAATTAATTAATACTATGTAGTACACCTAACATATATGTTCTGTTGCATATTGGCTGTTATTTCCATTCTTTTTATTTTGCTAAGCCATGGAATTACAAACAACAAACTTAATATATCATGTAGCCTTGTTTTAAAGCTTGCGTGGCTCAGTAATCAGTCTTGCTTGCTAGTTACAAATGTGCAGGTATTAAGTGAAAGTAATTGGGTTTTGATTTTCAGAGCTGGCAGCACCACCATAAAATAGAGGAAAGTCAAAAAACCCTGCAAAACTAATAATCTAACACTCTGCCCTCGTTCTTGATTTTCTGGCAATTTTTATGGCCTTATACTTTCAGTTTTCAAAATTTAATTATTCTTTTCATTCTTACCCTCCCCCTCCCCCCAAGCTCTGTTGAAGGGGACAGGAATAAACATTACACAAAGTAGGAGCAAGCTGGCTCTACTAATTCATCCCACCCACTGAACTCAATGCCTGGACTATCTCACACATTTAAATATTTGCAGCAGCTGGGAGCCAGCATGCATTAAAAGTACCATGTAGAGAAATTCACACCTTTCAGTTGTCTGACAGCGCTAGTTGTTTTTTTCTTTTTTAAAGATGTTTTTGAGAGAAATGTTTTCCATTCACCTAATGCATCTTCAAAGTTGAAGCCTAAAGTGCTTAAGTAGGAACTGCTTCTTCTGAGTAAAGGACTGTGCATCTCAATACACTGTGAAAATGTTTCCATTTCTAATTCCTTTGTTTTTTACTTTTACTATCCTTACTGTAAATACACTGTCTCAGTGGCGCTCTTTTGTCTCTTTGTATTTTGCATTTTTCAATCACAACACTTCCTAGATACTTATATTCCAGTATTTTTTTTTCTTGTATTAATACTAAGTGACATTTAAAATGTGGCCCACACACATTAACCCCACAGTCTTTTGGCAGCTGTTTCACTGACCTCAGTTGGAGTTCTGCCTGAGTAGCAACTACGGGCAGCACAAATTTATATAGCTGTGGGGTTTCACTTCCTCTGCATTCCAACTGCTTAAATGTTGTCTAGCCTCTTCTTGAGCATCTACACTGTGTGATAGAAAAGAAGCATTTTCCTTTGCTGCTAGCTCAGTCTCAGCATGGCGAAAGATTTAGTGCATCATTGTACCAGTAAATCTAGCAGCTTGCTGCTTCTGCAGAAAATGCCAACTGTGTAACAGCACACAGATGTGAGGTACACAAACCCATCCAGATCCAGGAATTCTTCACTTTGCATTTTACTCTGTAAATGGCTTTTCTTCTGCTTCAACAAATCCTCTGCATCTACAGAGGAAGCTGCAGGATAAACAAGCTAGAGCTGAAAATGTGAAATTCCAGTAAAGAAAAAGTAAATTCAGACATTGGAGGTAGATTTTATCAGAAAGTCCTGAGTTCTTACTATCTTCAAACCTTAAGGATTTTAGATTGCCTCTTGCTACCATAGATAATTGAAAGAGGCATTTTGAAAGATAAGGCAATTGAAAGATAATTGTGTGAGTGGTACTCTTTTTCCAAAGGGAATGCCAGGCATGTATGTAGGAAATGAAGAATTTGACATAACACTGTGACAGACAACCACTGAAGCTAATGAATTGGTATTTTTATATGCAAAATTCATTTTTGTGTAAAATCTGAAAGTTTTTTTGGGCTATAGCTTCGTTAACCTAGTTTAATTTTTAAAAATCTATAAACACAGTTCTCATCAGACCAAAAATAGATGTTGGGCTTTCATTCTGTGGTTGGGCCTAACTTTCACCATGGGACTAGAAAAATATTACTGAATTCAATAGGGTTAGAGATCACGTGTACATGGTGACCCTGAAGAGTCAGGATTTAAATTCAAGTCCTGTAAACACAGATATGCTTAATGGTATTTTCATGTCTAATCTCATAGTACTGTAGCTAAGCACTTGCTAAAGATGCTGAATTGGGAAGGAACTTACAGTGTAGTTTACTAGGATTATGCAGCTGTTCATATTTGTAAAACTTATGGAGAGTGAGTGTTTGGGAGAATGACTTCATTTAAAATTATAAATATACCTTGCATAATAAGTAAAACAGTCATTTAAGATGCGTTTTAAGATGCAGTCTTTTTCAGTGTAAAGGGTACTGGTACATTTGGATGTTTCAAATGATGAATTTGTAAATGATACTGTCAAATGTTAAGTGCCAAATATTTCACATATGTTGCACATTGCAATAAATGTTTCCATTTCTTAAAGTTTGCTTGTGATTTATTTATTTGTTTATTTGAATAGAACCGAGAATCATACTAGCAGAACGTGTGACTGCATTAACAAGAGATCTGCAATTCTGGATGTAGTCTGTATTTAGCTCAGGGGGCTGCCTGCACGGTGCTGGGGCTGAAAGGGAGAACGAGAGTTGTGATTCTGGTGGTGACGAAAAGCATTCCTTACAAGCTTGAGTGGACTGGGCTGTGCCGGGAGAATACAGTTACAATACATTGTGCTGTTCAGGTGATGACCATTACGAACGACACGACTACCCGTAAATATCCGAGAAGAAAAAAAAGATTATCTCCTGTTACAGTAAATAAGAGAGAAAAGCTAGTCAATTTAGAGGCAAACACAAGAGGCTTCTCAAGCTCATCTCCCGTCTTCAGGCTGCAGTATAAACTCCTTGTACTAGACAACCTTACAGCAGCTGGTTGTGTGTGCCGGGAGACTTAGCTATTTTTCCTCCATGCCTTTGCCAGTTTTTCCCTGTATGTTCTAGAGAGGGTGGCCAGGAGCAGAGCTGCCCCAAGACGCGTTACGCCTCCCGAGCCCGGGTGCCGGCAGGGGCTGCCCCGTTGTGTCACCCCTGCTGCGGCTCGGGCGAGGGCGGGGGCTGCGTTTCAGTAGCCCATCGAGAGCGCTCCTCCTCCTCCTCACCCCAGCGCGGCGTTTTCCCTTTTGTGTCTCCGCGCCTGATGGAAGAAAGCCGGTCGGCGCTCCATACGTACACCACCAACAGGAAAGCGGCTGTTCTGCCAAACGCTGCTTGCACAACAGCCGTGCCCGGCACGGTTTCCTGGCCTTTCCCTTCTTCCTTCCCTGGCAAGCGAGGCCAACGCTTCTGCCCTCCGTGGTGAAATCGGTC